CCAGGGAGAGTTTGGAGGCTTGAGGCATGGCCCGTGACACTAACCATGGATATAACAACTCATAACTTCTTGCTTCACCCCCAGCAGATCAAGGCCACCACTTCAGCTGACAGACATGGAAGTGGCAACTACCAAGTGTCATCGCTGGACCCCGTGGGCAGTAACTATATACATCTGTCCACTCTCAGCTTTTCTTTTTCCTTACTCTCCCTTACTCTTATCCTGTCTTTCTCTCCCCTATACATTTTCTCCCCCCCCAAAGGTTATCTCTATGCCACGTTGTTATATGACAACACCCAAAATGCTAGCATACCTGGTGATACAGAATTGTTAAAATAAACCTTACCAATATATGTTTTCAGACACCGATTATCCAGTGTCGTTTCACTCTAATCCACCCCAAGGGAATTATTGATAAGAACCTGGGTTACCCTCCTCCCCTTTTTCTGGGGCGGGTCGTAACACTTCTGCAGTGGTGCAAGCGCTGGAGGGGCTCCCTTCACTCACCTGGAGCGAGTCCAGGGCTGTGTGGAAGCTTGGGGCCAGCTCTATCTCTCAGGCACGCACGCGTGCACGCACGCAAGCACAGAGCCACGTCTTTTCTCCGGTGAACTCTGCTGGCACTCGGCAGGAATTTCATTTGGATCAACTACTTAATATTCTCCCTCCTTCCTTAGAAACCAGGCTGCTGAAAAATCCTTCCAGCCAAGGCCCCTCCTTTCCTGTTTGAACCACCCCATTCCTCCCTCCCCCATACACACACACACCGCAGAAACCTGACTCACTTGCTGGCACCTGATGGATTTCACCTATTTTTTTTTTAATATATTGTTGTTGGAACTCCAGATCAAAAGAAAAATGGAGATTTTCCTGTTTCGTATCTGAGGTTTTGCAGGCCTGTTGATACTAGCTTTCACCTTGACATTTCGGGAGCTGCTTCACACAAAGGACCTGCTGCTCACACCAGCCAGGTCCCTCCCCAAGTGACACATGTGCACAAGCCTGCGCGTCCCATGGCCTGTTCCAATGACTGCTGCCCTAACCCTCACCCTCACCCTGGATGTGAGGAGTGTGTGGAGCTGCCCATCTGCCTCACCACATCCCCATCACTCACCCCTGAAGCCCCACATCCCCAAATGTAGAGCAGAAGAGCATGGGAAGGAGGAATGGGGTGGGGAGGGAATATTTTGGGGAGCAATAAAGGACTGCACCAAACACAAGCCGCAGGAAATTTGGGCTCGGCAGTGCTCCTTCTCCGCCTACTTCCAGCTGACACAGCAAAGATGATTTTCTTAGGGCAAATTCTGCAACCCCCCCCCCCCCTTTCCCCTCCTGGTTATCGTTGGCTCATGGTTTCGTGAGGAAACTTGCCAAGTCTTGCTCACTTTCTAGAAAGAGAGCAGGAATGAGAGAGGAGAAGGAAATATTTGACAACCTTTGTTTTTCCACGAGCCTTTTTAGGGCAGCAGGCTTCAGTCTGTGCCCTCCACTCCCCGATGCTCGGCCTGACCTTGCTGTCTCAGCAGGAGGAAGTCTGGCGGGAGCACAGGGGAGAAAAATGGAAAGACGTGGTATATTTCAAAGGAAAACTAAACAAAACAGAGAAAACCCAGAATCCTGTAGCCTGTGCCATAAATGAAGCTCATTCATGTTTTTTTACCAGGAACAGTCAATTACAGCCGTGATGTTTGGCTTTCAGTACAGGACAGTGTCTGACTTGTGGCAGGAAGCACTACAGGGACCGTCCTGTCCGTACCTACATATCCATCTACTTAAAATTAACCTTACCGAAGCCCTCTAATCCCACACCTGCTTTCATTCCAGACCTCTCAATAAACCAGGAGCACATTCTGCTCAGTACCTCCAGCATTTCTCAGTGGCACTGTGCTCAGCATATGTATGAGGAAACTGAGGCACGGTACCTGCGAGCATCTTATCCCCAGGCAAGACATCTGCTCTAGAGGAGAGCCAAGCCCAGCCTCCCAGACTTGGGCTCTTGCAGTACTGCTCGATGCATCTCCACCTCCGTAAGGAGGAAAGCATCTGCAATTTTAAACTTGGCCAGCGTAAGGGCACAAATAGATAGAAATGCAGTTTGATCTAGTCCTCGCCACTGTCACATAGTTTATTTTGCAGAGTGCTGATTCTTTCTCAGCAGTTCACAGCTCAGGGCCAATTTTGGTCATTGATAGATGGGAGGGCCAGGCCAGCATCCCCAGCACACAGTCCCTAAGCTGCTGGCCAAACTGGCAGAGGCCAGAAAGTTCAAGTTAAACTTCATTTCTTTTCTTGCCCTGTTGCTTAGAAACACGCCTATGAAAATATACTTTGTTCTCACACGCTACCAGTCGAATGCCAAATGACTTTTTTCCCCTCTCCCGTCCTCAGGAATTCCTGATTTATTTTTTATTTCTTTTTTGCAATCGCACAAATCTCAAGAGGAGCCTGCTGGTCTCCTGTGGCTTCTTGCAGCAGCCTTTCCAATCCAGGCTCATCTCCTGCCTGCGAACAAAACCTGCCGAAAAGAGGCCCCTGCAGCACTTGGGGAGTCCAAACTGGAAGTGCAGGTAGTGCCAGGGGGTTGGTTTTGCAAAACAAACCTGCAACCACTTTCCTATCCCTCTCCTTGTTCACTCAATGGGTGCTCCCCATCGCAAGAAAATCAAAAGCAGTGGTATTACAAGGGAATTGGCTAAAGTTTTCACGCAGAGCACGTTTGAGAAGTGCGAGGCAGGTGGAATGAAAGGTGATTCATGTTGAGAGCCAAGCACCAAAGCTTTCTCAGGTGCCTTGGTCTGTGTGGGGCACCCTTGCATAGGTGCAAGGATGGGCCCTGCTCTCTCAGCCACTGCTGGATTTCAGTGGCATGGCTTTGCCTTACCCACCACATTGCCTGCCCCTGGCCACGCACATACACATGAAGAGTAAATAAACACTGGGATGACGTGCTCCAGGATACTTCACATATCTCCGCTACCAGCTGTTATTGCCCAGCTTCCTGGGCTCCACGGCAGGAACATGGCTCATGGCTTTACCCTCTGCTCCCTGTGCAGGTCTGCTCCCAACCCTCATCCCTTCCAGCTCCCTTCAAAAAACCAAGCTCAGCTTTGCTGTTTCTGGCTGATTTAAGGGAGTTTGGACATCTGATGTCATTCAAAGGAGGGGGGAAGTTATATATACAGAATTTAGTTTTGCTCTGAAGGATGGAGTGTAGCAACCCAACTACTGCCTGCAAGCAGCAAAGGGGAAAAATAATAAAAGCATCAAGATTTACTAGGTGCTAGAAAGGAGAAACGGAATCCCATTGCGTGGGTATAAGCAGAAGCTTGCTAACAAGTAGAAATTACTTTTTCATGCTCCAAAAAAAGTGAGGGGTTTGTTTCTGGGAGTTTTTTGCCAAGTGGTCCCCCAGACGCACAGACACCCTCTCTGCCTCTCTTTTACACTGTGGCAAATACAGATGTATTTGGAGGAACATAGGGAATGTGTCCTCCTCACATGAGCTAGAGGATCCAGAAACTGGAGTGAAATGAGAGCCAAAGTGAAGGAGTGCTTTCTTTCGTGCTTTTGTCACGTGCAAGAGGCAAACACTTCAGAAGCTTGGCCTTGCACTCATGCTGCCATGCCTGCCTTCATGCTTGCTTTTAACCTGTTCTTTTGGGTTATTAGCCACACCATCATTATTTTTTGCAATCACATACCCTGTCCCTAACGCACCTGCTCTCTTCACCTCCCTGGGCTAAAACCCATCACCCAACAAAGACGTCCAGCAGCAGGCAGCCAGGAAGAGCAGGCTGCAATGATCCCAAGGAGAAAGTGGGAGGCTGAGCAACAAACCCACAGGTGGCTGAGGACTTTGGGAATGCGGCAGTTGGTTGCAAGGAGGTGCCCTGCCCTCTCCTATACTTCAAGTTGCAGAGGTCAGCTCGGACTCTAGAGCAAGGTGGAAGATATGGTGAGAAAAAGGGGTCAGGAAGAGGGTGAAGACAGGAATTCAGGAAAGATGTAAAGGATGTAACTAAGGAAGGACTGGGATGCAGCTGTGACTAAGAGGGTGCATCTGGGAAGTGGGGGAAGAAAAGCTTTCCATTGGGATGGGACAACTCAGAGGTGATGATAGAACGCAGAGTGGGGGAGGCTGTGAGATGATGCAACAGGAGGTTTGACCAGAGCATGGATGGAAAGAAGGATAGGAAAAGTGGCAAGGGGCATGGAAGAACAGTTGGGGAGATGGAAGAGTACCTACAAAGATGGAAAAGCAACTGCATGTGTGTGTGTAAGAACAACTAGAAAGATGTAAAAGTAGCTGGAAAAGTGGAAAAGCAATAGGGGGGGTGGAAGAGCAGCCAGGGGAAGTGGTGGTGGTGGTGGAGAAGCAGATGGAAAAGAGGGAAAAGCAACCGGGGGCTTGGAAGAGCTGCTGGTGGAGGGGATAGGGAGGGGAAGGAATGGGAAAATAGCTAGAAAGATGGAACAGCAGCCAGGGTGTGTAAATGTGTGTGTGAAAGAGAAAACTCAGGCAGAAAGACAGAAAAGTAGCCAGAAAGATGGAAAAGCAGCTGGTGGTGGTGGAGGGGAATGGAGGAGCCGGGAAGGCAGAAAAGCACACGACGGGGGAGGGGGCTGGAAGCGCAGGGGGGGAGGGCGTGGATGGAAAAGCGGGAGAAAAGATGAAAAAGTAACCCGGAAGGCAGAAAAGCAAGCGGGGGCATTGAAGAGCACCTGGGAAGATGGAAAAGCAGCCGGCGGGATGAGAAAGCAACCGCGGGGGCAGGGAAGAGCAGCCAGTGGGAGGGAGCAGAAAAGCAAGCGGAAAGATGGAAAGGGAGCCGGAAAGACGGAAAGGCAAGCGGAGGGTCATGGAAGAGCACCCGGAACGAGGGAAAACGCAGCCAGGAGCTGGCGGTGGGGTGCAAAAAGCCGGTGGAGAGATGGAAAAGGGGCCGGCAAGGCGGAGAAGCATCCAGGAAGGCTGCGAATGGAGGAGCGGGGTCACTCACCAGCCTTGGCTTGCTCGCGGTAGCTCTTCTCGCTGAGGCAGACGGCGGTGCCGTGGAGGAGGGCGTGCAGCGGCTTCTCCTCGCCCTGGCGCGGGAGGCAGCGCAGCCCGCGGGCGCAGCGCTCGGTGTAGACGCCGCAGGGCTGCCCGGCGGGCAGGGCGCAGGTGAGGCAGCAGCCGCAGCCCGGCTCCTTCACCAGCTCGCAGCCCAGCGGCGGCGGCGGGCAGAGCGACAGCGCCTTGGCATCGCAGGGCTCGCACTGCACGAAGGAGCCCAGGCACCGCGACAGCCCCGGGCAGGCGCCCAGCAGCACCAGGAGCCGCAGCAGCATCGCGGCGGGGATGCTGCGGGACGGGGCGCGGGGAGCTGCCGGGGGTGGGCGGCGCTGGCTTTCCGCTTGCCCCTTCTGGGGCAAGAAAAAAAAAAAAAAAAAAGGGAAAAAAGAAAGAAAGAAAAATTAAAAAATAAAATTCAAAAAGGAAAGCGCAGCCCCTGCTTGCAGGCGTCCCACTCTGAGGTTAATTCTCGGGGTGCGAGACCCTCCCGATTTTCTTTTGGCGTTAGAAGGGGGGGGGGGCGTCTAGGTTTGCTTTTTTGTCTTTTTTTTTTCTTTTTCTCCTTCTTTCAGCTTTTTCTCGCCTCGAAAGGGGGAATTCGCACCGCGATCCGCGGGAGCGCAAAAAGAGAGGGGGAGGGAAAGAAGGGGGAAAGGGAGCGAAGCCTGCAGGGGTTGCACAGCCTACAGGTTGCAGGGGGAGGAGTGGGGGAGCAGGGGGGTTTGGGGAGGTGGGACCGCGATTTCACACACGCGCACACACACACACACACACACACTCTTCCCAAAGGACTGGAAGGAGGCAGGTTGAGAAGGGAGCAAAGTTCCTTGAAAACCAGTGTCCTGCTATTATTGCATCAAAGCAGTCAAGAGGGGAAAAAAAAAAACCAACAACGCAGGAGAAGGAAGAGGGGATGCAAAGCTCCCCTTCCCTCTCTCTTCTTCTGCAGGAGGAGAAAAAGTCTCTCCCGACGCAGCGAGCTGCTGGGAAGCTTGGTATGAAGCAAAGTTGTGTTTCGATCGGCTCTGTTCAACTCTCCCGCTTTCCTCTTCCAGGATTTGCAAAGGAAAAAGAAAAAAAAAAGACCAAAAGAGTAAAAAAAAAAAGTTTTCTGCAAAGTTGGAGTGTTTTGTTGCAAAGTCTGCAGAGGAGCGGTAAAAAATCAGGGGGAAGGGGAAAAAAAAGAAAAGAGAGGAAAAAAAAAATCCACTTTGTAGATCTCCCAACACTTTTCCCCTGGAGAAGTTTCTAAAGAGACTGAATACTGCAGAACAGGCTGTCTTTTAAATAGACTGCCTCTGGCTGCCTGCCAGCCCCTCGCTGCAATTTGAGATCCCAATGACACCTCAGCTTGACTAGGTGCCAGCAGCGAGGGCCCTATCAGTGCGCTCTCGGGCCGTGGGGGTGGGGTGCGCAGCTCCTGACTTCTGGGCTTCAAACCCCGAGCAGTGATCAAGGATAATATTATGAGGAGAGACAAGGGGAGGGGGAGGGGTAAGGGGGAAGCCGCGGATCGGGGTGGGGGGAAAGTTCAGACCTTCGCGGGTTAAAGGGAAAAAAAAAAAAAAGCAAAGTGGTTGCCATTGGGTTGCAGGGCAGCCTGGGCTGCAGGGAGTCTGGATGGAAGAGGTCAGGGCTCTGAGTTTGGGGAGGAAGTAGAGAATTGAGTTAGCAGGGCCTGATCCTGTGTGCTGTCCCCTGTGCTGCTGGGGCAAGGACCCCGATCTGCTGCCTGGGTAGCTGGAAGGCTGGGGACCCTCGGAGGAGGAGCCGATGTGCCCAGCACTCACCAGCTCCAAAGGTGAGCGCAAGAGGAGATGGCTGGGTGCCTGCCAGGGTGCTACTCTCGGGTCCAGGAAGGAGCCTTTGTGTGTGCAGGGTGCCCGGCTCTCCTCTTCTGTCCCTCTGCCCCTGGGCTGGGTTTAAAAACGCAGTGAGGCTTTGCCCAGTGCTAGGGTGCCCCCCTGACACCCCCAATCAGCAAGGGTTAACGCGGCCGGACAGTGAGCAACAGGGAGGGCTGGGTTGCTTATAAGAACTGTGTTAGATTCCTCTTTGGAAAAGTTCGCTGTTGCTTAGGGCATGCCAGAAAACAAGGGGAATTTTGCCATGTGAAGTCCAATTTGCACGTTTTAGCTCATTCTTCTTCTGCCTCTTGCCCTGCACAAAATGGGGAGGAAGAAGAAAGAAAGAAACGACGACAACAAAAAAAGCACTTTGTAGTGCTCATCCCCTATCCTGGGCAGCTTGGGGTTTGTTGTCTTTTGTTCCACCACCGCTGCATTCCTCAGGGTTACAGTTCTCTCGGCCCTAGTCTCTCTCACTTGCCTCTCAGTTGTCATTCATCGCTAGGAGCGGGGAAGCTGGAAGCGCGTAGGGAAGGGAATCTCCAGCACTGGGGTGTGCAGCCCCGCAGCTGCCCTGGCAGCTGTGCTCAGGGGTTACACCTGGAGCAAGGGTATGAGCTGAACCTAGCTGAGCCAAGGGTGGGAGTCTGCTCAGAAGCACAAGCACAGGGGCATCTACCAGGGCAGTGGCAAATTCAAAGGGATCAGCCTGTTCTGGGTGAGGTTTACTTGTGATTCAAGTCAAGCCCCCTTCCACATAGGCACACACTCCTCCAAAGCTTCATATTCCCCGGGTTTCTTTTTAGATCAGTCATCTGTGCAGCTGCATTGCATGGATTTTGCCACTAGAATGCACCCTTATCTATGGTAAGAGAACGGATGGTTGCTTAAAAGCATTAACTCCTTCTTCTCCAAAATTTCCATGCTTAAGGCTTTTGTTGCACCTCTCAGGTGTTCCTTGTTTTACCATGCGGACGCAGTAGTAAAGATCAAATTCTTTCTGTTCTTACCCCTTGCCCTTCTAAAAGGAAGGCCACATTTCTAAGCTTGGTTGTGTGGTTTTTTGTTTTTCTTTCTATCAAGAGTTTTTCCAGAGATTTTATTTAATACTAACTGAATCTCTGCTTAGATCACAGTTAACTGCAAAAAAATAGGCACCTTTAACGTAAGAAAAGCACCCCCCAGGGATTTTATCTGTAAGTGTTTTAAAATGGTTTCTCTAGTTGACACTTAGGACTTTTACAGCATATTAATTGCATCCTGCCTCTGGTTTTTATGAGAATCTGCCACTGGTCTGAATGGGTGCTTTGCAGAAAATAGCACCAGGCAGAGAATGAGTGATCACTGTTCACCTGGAGGTCTGGATGCATTTTGTGCGAGAGCTTAGGGCAGGAGAGAATTTGCTTTCCTCATTCTCTCCACCACCCTGTAAGAAACAGTGTGCCCCGGATTAATACCTGGTACAGAGACAGCAAGAGTATCAGAGGGGTGGAGGAGAGGTTTCACTCCCACTCCAACCTGTGAGACACAAAATGGTGAGGCATGTAGAGAACTGCCTCCATCAAGCCCAGCTGCAAGCCCTGGCATGGAAGGCTTGGGCACGGCTGGATTGCCATGGGGCAGAGATCCTGTGAGGGATCCCGGGGAAAGCTGCTCTAATTTAGGGCTGTCCGGGAACTTTCTCTCCAGCTTTCAGGCCAAGATCTGGGTTGTGTGAAGTTGTCTTGCAGCCACCCTCATTTTATTCCTAGGCTGCATTCATCCACAAAAGCTTACCTGGAAAATGAGTCATATCCTCAACCAGAAGAGTACAAGATTTTAGCCATGAGATGTGCCTTGATGGAAGATTTTCTCCCATTTTATGAAAGTAGTCTCAGCTGTGGCATCTTTGGGCATCACCTATGTTGAATCACTGAGCCCAGCACTGGGCTCAACTGGGCTCAACTGCAGGTGACCCCCTGGTGTGTGCTCTTCATGCTCCCTATTTTTGTGGCATTTTTTGCTGATGCCAAAAAACCCCCCTACTACCCTGGGAACATAAGACAGCCACGGAACAGTGTGCAGCGTATGGCTGATCGTGAGCTGTAGGAGAGCCTGCAGCTAACAAAGATCACATTTCTCCTGACTTATGCTCTTCCAATGGAGATCACAATCATGTTTTATGTTTATAAGACATGCCTTCTTGTTTCGAGGGAGTGAACAGAGAGCGTTCAGAGGAAACCAAGGTTTTTATTAGTGTCTTCTAGTGTATTTCATTGCTGTAGGCTCTATGTGTTACATATGGCTCTGCTGCAAAAGAGAAATAATTATTTGGAAAGCAGTTACTGTTCTTAACATCTCAGATATGTCACACTTCATTATGATACTTTCTATAATGTGCAAAAGCACTGACTTTCCTGGGTACGATAAAGAGGATGGAATACATACTTTTATCAGTTTGGGCTAATCTGTGTTTTGGAGGCACTTAGAACATCAAAAAAGTCCAGTCAATCTAAAAAGATTAGGAGCTGAATCACAGATACAAGAGTGAGATTTTTTTTTTTCTTCTCCCTTCAAAACCACGGTCCGGTTTTTGTACATCTGAAACACATTAGCAAAATAATGCATTTACAGGAGAATGTATAATTTTTTTTTCATGAGCAAGTATTAAAACCCACCAAACAGTTGTGAAATCAGGTGCCTGAAGCATCATTGCGAAAAAAAAGCCAATACTTCAATTCTTAGAGGGGAAAATGACAAGCAACAAAAGCGGAACTGATGGGACAAGTCTAAGACAGAAGTGCAGAGAGGAGAGATGAGCAACAGCAGGAGGTGCAGATATCAACACAATATTTCACTTTGCATGGAGGCTGCGTTGAGTGTCAAAAGTAAAACGTGATTTCTTCCCAAGATATTTGTTCTTCCTTTGGACAGTGCCTTCTTGCTTGCAATGAGAACCCCAACAAGTGTTTGGAGCTTCATGCTGTGAGCCCCTTTCCAGCAGGATCCATCAGCCCATTCTGCAGCAGTGGATGTAGTAGAGCTAGTGAGGGCTAGGTGGCATACTGGATACATTGGAGAGTCACCTCCAAGGACTTCCTTCCACATCCAGCAAGGGCTAGGCTGAATGAAATTATCTCTTTGCAAGCAGCTTTCTGTGTCATTAAAAAAACAAAGCAACCGATGCTTCCAGAGAAGACAGCATCAATGTTTTGCTTTCTAACATGCCTCATGGGGGTATCAATTTTAAACCACATGTAGAAATGAAGTCTCCCCCCATCAGATCAGCGCCTGGGTGTTCTGCAGGGCTGTGTTGGCTCTGTTTCATATTATCAGGGCTCAGCTGCCAAGATTTCCAGTGGTGAGTGGTGCTGGGGTGCCTCCATCTCCCTGCGGAGGCACGAATCAGCTTGGGGTGCAAAGTGGGGGGATTCATTAAGTGAAGGACA